AAATCAGGACTCCAATTCTTTTTTGAATCCTAAAGCTATAACATTTCAGATTACCAAACATCATGTTCAGTCATTACAATGTGCAACAATTGGACCATGCACTTCACCATAAAATAAACTTTCTAAAAGAGTTAGAAAACTGTAAAATAAAATTTCTAAAAGAGTTAGAAAACTATAAAATAAACTTTCTAAAAGAGTCAGAAAACTCTTTCAGAAAGTTTATTTTATGGTGAAATGTAATTCACTCTGTGTTTTTGTTATCATATCTGTATTTCTATTTGTATCCATCTGATTTTTATAGTTTTTTCTTATGTTGTACTTACATTACACCACTGTCCCAGGTTAGGGGGAGGGTTGGGACCATGCAAACATGTTTAACCCCGCCACATTCTGTATGTATGTGCCTGTCCCAAGTCAGGAGCCCTGTAATTCAGTGGTTTTCGTTTGTTGCTGTGTTACATATTTGTTTTTCGTTCATTTTTTTGTACATCAATTAGGACGTTAGTTTTCTCGTTTGAATTGTTTTACATTTGTCATTTCAGGACCTCTTTTATAGCTGACTATGCGGTATTGGCTTTGCTCATTGTTGAAGGCCGTACGGTGACCTATAGTTGTTAATTTCTGTGTCATTTGTTCTCTTGTGAAGAGTTGTCTCATTGGCAATCACACCTTATCTTCTTTTTTATATTTACCTGAACATTTTTGATATTTTACCCTTTAAAAGACTTTCAGACCTTGAAAAATTCTATCTCATATTTGGAAGTAATGATTATGTTGTCCAAAAATGATGTCTGATGATCAGCTTGCACATGGCTTGTTGTAATCAGTCTCTGTTGTAATGTATGGCGACGGTGATTGATGTGGAACAATGGTACTCAGATCGTTATATTAATTTGGTTCAAAGTGATATACTGAATAAATTAACGTATGTGATTAAAAATCGTAACATGACTATTTTTAATCAAACAAGTTAATTTAGTCAACATCGATTATGTCTACAGGATTCCAAATGTTAAAACTGAGAAACGAGGCTTATTAATCATTTAGGTATCATTTATTACAACATGGCACATGTCAATATTTAGATTTTTTCTTTTATTTTGAATTATATTAGCCTTTTAGCCAGAATATCGATCTGAAGACATGATATATTGATGCAAGGGTCCACACGCTGAAATGTCTGGCCTGCTTTAGTTTACCATGATTGTTGTTGAAAGTCTATGATGATCTATCTAAATGAGGTCAAGGTCAGAGGAACCCTGCCAAACAGACATAATTATGTTACATGCAATCATTCTAGTTAGTCCATTGCTTACATTATCTGAGAAATTGAATATTCACCAATGAATTATGTACCATAAAAATGAAATCAAGGTCAGATGAACCTGCCAGACAGACAATGTTCACTATCCAATCACTCTAGTTGACCTATTGGATATAGTATCTGAGAAATAGACAGCCATAAAAAAAATGCTTCGCTGAGCGCGGCTGGATACGCCCGCAGAGGTCCAACCCTGAACAGTTGGGGCGAAAATGGACACAATATTCAAGCTTGATACAGGTCTGAATTTGGATTGTAATTAAATATTTGACATATAGGTTTCTGAATAAATGTAGTCAAAGAACTTGAAATTGGTTATATGAATTGAATTTATATTCAATTAAAGATTTCTTTCTGTTGTGCAATACACTGTGCTGTTGAGCAATACTAGTAAATCTGTTGTCAGACTATAAACAAATAAAGTTCAATAACTTCTCAATGTTATATTAGAAATTTATAAAAAAAAAACTAAAGGGAGGTTATCTTAATAGATATAAATCAGTCATCAAAGTTTAACGAAAACTGCTCTAAGCACTTTAAGGATATTGTCCAAAAACTTGAAAATCACCCCATTTTTATGAATAAAATCTTGTGTAACTCGGAAACATAAAATCTAAAATTTATAAAAATCAAAAGGGAGCTTACAACAATAGATATAAACAATTTACCAAAGTTTCATAAAAAATGCTGAAAGCATTTTTGAGTTATAGTCCGAAAACTGGAAAATCACCCTTTTTGTAACGAATAAAACCCCATAAATCAGAAACGTATAGTCTAAAATTTATAAAAATCAAAAGGGAGCTCATGTCGATAGCATTAAACAATTCACCAAAGTTTCTTCCAAATTGGTGAAATTGTTTTTGAGTTTTTGTCCGAAAACTGGAAAATCACCCCTTTTTTAATGAATAAAACTCCAAAATTCGGAAACGGTAAATCCGAAATTTATAAAAAACGAAAGGGAGCTCACGTCAATAGATATAAACAATTCACCAAAGTTTCATGCATATTGGTAAAAGCGTTTTTGAGTTAATGTCCGACATGTTGACGACGGACGGACGGACAGACGGATGGTCAACGGTATACCATAATACGTCCCGTAAACGGGCGTATAAAAACTTAACCTTGAGTAATGAATTATGAAAATTAGATAAAGGTCAGATGAAACCTGCCATTCAGACATGCACATCTTACAATCATTCCATACACCAAATTTAGTTGAAATATTGCTTATAGTATCCAATAAATGCAGAAAACCATGAACATTAGGCCAAGGTTAAATGAAAGCAGTCACCTTACAATGAATACATACACCAAATATAGTTGACCTTTTGCATATAGTATCTGAGATACTGACCTGACCACTGGTCCATGTACCCTGTCTCGCAGAGATGTAGACCTTGCAAGGTCCTGACCATTACTCATGACAAGTGAGTATTTCACATGACAAATAAATGTGGAATGTGTCCCATGACACAGATGATGCCCCCGCCTGCATATCATATAAAGTTATAAAGGGACATAACTGAAGAACAGTAAAAGTCACGCTACCCAAATTAGTACTTGATCTGAGTTTTGTGGTAATAAGCATTGTGTATAAGTTGCACAACATTTGGTTGAGGCAAACTTAAATTAGAGAACAGAAACGAAACATTCAGCAATTTTTCCATTTGTAAAGGGGCATAACTCTAGAACAGTAAAAGTGACACCACCAAAATTCAAACTTGATCTGTATTTTGTGGTAATAAGCATTGTGTATAAGTTTCATAACATTTAGTTGAGGCTAACTTAAGAGAATTGAAACGAAAAATTCAGCAATTTTTTCATTTGTAAAGGGGCATAACTCCAGAACAGTTAAAGGGACACCACCAAAATTCAAACTTGATCTGTGTTTTATAGTAATAAGCATTGTGTACAAGTTTCATAACATTTGGTTGAGGCAAACTACAGTTAGAGAAAGGAAACAAAAAATTCAACAATTTTTCCATGTGTAAAGGAGCATAACTCTAGAACAGTTAAAGTGACGCCACCAAAATTCAAACTTAATCTGTGTTTTGTGGTAATAAGCATTTTGTACAAGTTTCATAACATTTGGTTGTGGCAAACTAAAGTTATAGAGTGGAAACCAAAAATTAAGCAATTTTTCCATTTATAAAGGGGCATAACTCTAGATCTGTTAAAGTGACGCCACCAAAATTCAAACTTGATCTGTGTTTTGTGGTAATAAGCATTTGGTTGAGGCAAACTAAAGTTAGGAACAGAAACCAACTTTGAGACGTACAGACGGACAAGGGTAAAACTTAATGCCTTAACTTAGACAGAAACTTTGTAGCATCTGCTAAAAAGGTGTGAAGCACCAAGGTCTTCTTTCTGAAATAACAACCATTCTGTGAGTATTGCATGGCAATACATAGTCCCCTACCGGTTAAAAATTCATTGTATTGGAACAAATTCTAACTTGATCTATAACTTGTCATGGTGTAAACTAAATAACATATATCAAGTCAATATCTTCAAGCATTACAAAAAAAAGTGTTGAGTTTGAGTGAATTTTCTAAGTCCAAGGACCATAACTCTGCACAAAATCTTCAGACTGGAACAAAATTCGAACTTGATCTGTAACTTGTCATGATAAAACTATATACCAATTTTCAAATCAATATCGTCATGCATGAAGCAAAAAAAGTGGAAAACTGATTTGCCGGACTGACGGATGGACAGACAGGTGCAAACCTTAAGTCCCCTTCGACTCCGTCGGTAGGGGACTAAAAAGCTTTGTTCAGATATCCTCACCAGACAGAAATCCCTATGTCTCATTTTGCGACATTTGTTGCATGTGAGACAAAAATAATCATTGTTTATCCAGTTCTAATGAAGTCAGTTGGTCAAAAATATTTTGGGGCCACCATAGTGTACAGGAATGTTGCATGTAACCAATACCCAATCCCCAATCTTTTTTCCAGCTTAATGATTGATTAATAGTTGCTTGCTTAATGTCCAGTAGCCATTATTTTAAGAACATTTAGGATGAAAACTATTAACAATTACACAATAGGTAGATTATAAAAGGTTGGAAGGCAGGAATGAACGGCTGGAAATTAGGACTGCCACTGGAAAACATCGGGACATTTTTGTGAATAACTTGAAAAAATCAAAATGGTGTCAATGTGCACATCTTTCTTATAGTACAATTGTAACCTTTTAAACTATTAGAAAAGTACAACAGATAAACCATATACCTTACAGGTGAACAGAGGGATATACAGACAGAATGACAAGGTAAATAAATACCTATCCAATTAGAAAATTTAAGGAAACCAGAAAGCATAAATACAACATTACAACAATGTCAGTTGGTGTAACCTGATCTTTGTAAATCATTACAATAGAAGGTTCTAAGTTAAAATCGAACAAACTTCATGGATTGTCAAATTCTGATGGTGCAGGATGTTCTTGAATTCAAAATGTAAGTGTATTTAGTTAATGTTTATGAAGTGTCACACAATTCTAGATTTTTCAGCTGACTTTTTTTTTATACAACCTTACATCATAATAAAGAATCCTTCTGAGTATGCATGTAATTGTTGCCACTGGACATTAAACAATCATCAATCAATCAAAACATTAGATGAATCAGGACCTTTAATTCCTCTAAAAGGCAAATTAAAATAACACAACACAATTTAACATGAATTTTTTACTGATAATATTCGAAAATATGAAAATAAATTAAAAAAATGTTGGAACAAATATGCAATAAAATGAAATGACTAGCTTTGGATTTTCAATGGAATTCACCAACAATATAACATAACAGCACTAAAAAATAACAATCACATTGAAATTCACAACATTTATAATAACAGATGCAAATATGCTTAGAACTAACTCAAATATTTTCTGAAAGCTGAACAAAAATTTCAGTGGTCAGAATATATCAAAAGACTCGAGAATTTTTTTCTCTTTTTCACTTGCACAGATAGCCGAAATATATTTTCCACTGATCTTCCGTTACTACCACACTTTCAATCCTTAAATAAATAATTGTACTTGTGCATTCTTTATATTTTCATCAGTACACAATATTGAAAAATAGCAAATCTAACCAGAAAAATTGCTATGATATTGTCTAGGAGAAAAAAGATATGAACTTCGAGAATAAAATGACTGAATTGAGCTTTTGATAAAAGTGTTCAGGATCCTTGTTCGAATTTCAGTGACACTTAATATGAGTTTGTGAAAGATAAGTTTTTTCAAACCTTTTGTTCTACCAGAAAAAAATATTTACAATTTATACATAACTGAAATAAAACTTCAGTATAAAATCAGTGTTAAATCTTTAAGAGTTAGCTCCCTTCTACTAATGAAGTCAAACCTGATACAGACAAAATTTACAACAAATTCAGCCTAGTTACGAGTTTATGCATAGTTATGTTATGCTTGCAGCACCAAAATGCTATTTACAAAATTGCACTTGAATTGTTCAACCTTCACATTAACACAGTAATATCTTTTATAACATCCTAGTATATATAAATCTGAAATATCATAATGCACACACAACATAAATGTTAATACAATGTTTTTGAATGCTGACAATAATACACAGTGTGTGTTGTATGGTGTGTATAAAAATTAATAGAATAGTTGTGTAATCTGAAGAAATCAGTATTTTGAATCATCTGTTTTGAAAATTTTACTTTAATCTTGGTGGACTATTATAGTATAATAGTCCCAGCTTTAGTACAATAATGTTTGGCTATTGTCAATTGATTGTTAGAATTTTATAACTTCCTAAATGTAAACAAACTTCGAAAATATAACAAAAATAGCTTTTTTCAATTACAGATGTTGTTATATGTATTTTTATCCTGGAGGCTTCAGAGAAAAATTTATGCTACCCTTTCTTAATATATGACAATTTAGATCTACATTATGATAATATTTTGTCTTGATATTTTATATTATGCAGGCTTAATCAGACATTTGTAAGCAACTGATCAATCAGAATTCACTTGTTTGTGCCAGAAAATAAATCATTACTATAAATACACAACACATATATCACAGTATATAAACAGTTTACAAAGTTATGTAATGTGAAAAGTCACAAGTCATTGCACTAAATACTTCAATCTTTCCCCTCACTTGTCTTCCGTCTGAATGATGTGTATCCTAATATCTGAAATAGAAATACAAACTGTCCAAACTTACTGTGATAAAATAAGGCAAGGCAAGGCATTGGAGAAAATAATATATTTGAGCTTATTCTAATGGTGAAACTCTACACGACTTTTTGGTACACTTGTGTTATTAGGTTGCTGTCCTTATAAACTTATTACCAACCTTTCTACTTATTTACAATGTTTTGATGTTAGCAAGAATGTGTTATATACCCTTCAGGTATAAAATGTACTGTAATCTAACAAAAAGTTTAGTCAGGATATTTACTCCAAATTTAATAATAGCTGCAAAAACTTAACAACTCTGGATTTTATAAAAAACAACAAAAAAACTCAGAAATATGATTGTTTTGCTACTGCTTTGCATGTCATGTCTAAATATATACAATGCAAACCTCCAGACAGCAGAGTTATTTGTAAATTGTATCATACTGTATTGAATAATTAGCCATGGGGAAATTTATGGGTTGCCAAACATTCTGAACACAAGATAGATCTTAACAATGCTGTGATCATCTATTTTAGCATGTAACTTTATTATTCCAGAGGCCTGGAGTATTGCTCTCTGTCAATATTGACAAGTGGAATACAAACAATTCAATTCAGAATCCATTGGAAATGTGCAATTTATGTAAAGAATAAATAAAACATGTAACTATATTGATTAACAATGTAACTCAACAAGCCTTACTAGTAACATATCTATACTTGTGAAAATTCATAATATTTTGCATGTGTTCATAACGACTTTTCTTAATGAGAAGAGAAACATACCTAAGTTAACTTACAGTGGAGTCTCTTTCTTTAAAGGAAGCCCATTAGGTCTGGGAGGTCCAGAATAATTTGGCCCAGGACCAACACTTATACTCATTGGTCCATGACCATTCATAATCTTCTCCTCCCCAGTAAGGTTAGAAATCTTGTTAAAATGTCCATTTATTGCTCCACTTTTAGTTATTTTAGGATTTGTTACAATCCCATTCCTCTTACGTCTCATTTCTGGGGAACGCATTTCTAAAGCACTTTGTCCCATTATAATATTTGACTGCTCCATGTTGGTTTTTTGTTGAAGTTTTAACTTTTCCAAGTCATTTTTCATACTCCTGAAGTGTTGGGGATTAATCTGCCAAACAGGTTCATCAGAGAAATCGGCATTAGGATTCGTTATTATATTGATTGTGGCAGAAATTTCTTTATCCTTGCAGTTAGAAAACTTAACTGGAGATTTTGCAAAAATATTCAAATTCCTTTCTGTAATCGGTGAGAGTTTGTTATGTTCATTATGAACCATAACCTCAATACTAGGAGTAATATTTGGAGATTGAACTGGTGACTGAGGCTCGCTAACTGGAGACAAAATTCTACTGACAGGCCGAGCACGGTGCCTAGCCATGGAGCACTGCTGTAGTTGTTGTGTGAATGTCAGACAATCATTACTATTAGGAGCACTTTGATTACTTTGGCTTGTAGATGATGTCATATTACTTGAAGATTTTGACGAGTTATTAGACGCAAAGGATTTCCTTCTATCAAAAGTTGAGTCTGGAGATTCTGATGGCGAACTGTTCAACTGGTTCCCATTGACAATAACACCAGTGGTAACTGTAGCATGTGTATGTGCAGATCCAGCAGCAGACGATGGCCTGGTCTCATTACTAGAGGTTGAAGAATTGCTTCTACTCTTTGTCATGGGTGTTGCACCATTTTCTTCCAGTAATTTACAAATACCGGAATGACCTGATTTCATGGCAACTTTGATTGGTGTCCTACCAAACTGATCAGCATGGTTTGGATTAGCATGATACTGAAGCAATACACGTACACAGTGTTCATGTCCTTCTTGTGCAGCAATACATAATGCAGTAGCACCTTGATTACATGTATGATCTACATTTGCTCCATTTTCAAGAAGAAGCTTAACAACCTTCTCATGACCTTGCCAAGCTGCTGACTGCAATGAAGTACGATTGTCATTATCAACAGCATTTACTTTTGCACCAAATTTCAGAAGAAGTGAAACAATTTCGAAATGTCCCTGCCATGCAGAAATGTGAAGGGCAGTCCGTCCTTCAAGATCAGTTGACTCTACATCAGCTCCTATTTCCAATAAATATTTCAATATTTCTACTTTGTTTTCTAATGATAACATATACACTGTTGATCGTCCATCGGCATCTTTGTAGTCAATGTTTGCTCCCTGTTCATACAGATACTCAACTACTTTCCTGTGAGATTCCAAAGCAGCCACTCGGAATGCTGTTTTCTGGTCATGTGACCTGTGATCTATTGTTGAACCATTTTCAACAAGGGAAGTGACAACCTCAAGATGACCTTCCTGTGCAGCAAGGATGAGTGGATGGCGTCCATCATTATCAACTTCATTTACTTTGGCGCAATGTTCAATCAGACAGTTACAAACCTGAAAAGAAAAGGGAAAATATACTTTACTATAAAAATGAAGCTAGAAAACAAATTTGAGTCCAAAGTCCACAAAAATTACTAGAAATAACTAGCTAATTTTTATGACCCACAGTAAACCAACTTATATTAGTGAGTAGAAAAATAATGCAAATATAAATATTCAGCAATATGTCAAATTAAATCTTCTCTTATATATATGCATTTATACATGTGATTCTTCTGGCAGTAGTCAAATGTATATAATTGGCTCTATCTATAAGTTGTCAAAGGACTGTCCATTAATTTTTGGTCAAAAATTATACTTAGCCTTACTATAGACTCTTTCTAATTTATTTTGTTAATTTATGTAAAACATTTGAACAATGTGTCAAATTAAAACATATCCAAACAGCTACCTTAGTTTATTTACATAAAAATAAAAAAAATAATTATTTAGGAATTTTAAAGAGATTACATATATATGTAAATGTTTATTTAACTAATTTTGTTCAATGGCACAGTTTCAAAATGAATCAATTCTACATTGACACAATCTAAGATTGTATAACATAAAACACTTGGTTATACTTAGAAGCTAGATATGAAAAGAGTCATTACACAATCAAAACACAGGGTTACACATTTAAAGAGCTAAAGGGGCTGGTAACCTATAGGGGGCATACTTAGAGCTCAATCAGTTTCAATTGAAAATAAGTGTCAAACATAATTAAACATAAAAGAGAATATCAGAAAGACACACAAAGGATTGCCCAGGTACAAATTAAGTTTGCAGAATATGGCTCTTATTTGTTATTGAATATTTAAAGGCTTTTAATCTAGCTGCTTCTTAGTTCCATTTTTAACAGAATAAGATAATAATACTCTGTCAATGTGGTTGTATTTTGGATGTATCATTGATGTGTACCCAACATCTCCTTTAAGTCATAACAGTTGACTGTCTGATATAGAACATACCTATATAAAAGCAAAGTAAATGTTCAAATGGACTATGTAGATATGTCTCAGCAAATAAAATAATCAGCTGTTTGTTAAACTTACATCCCCCAATTTTTAAATATTTAAACAGAGCATGGTGTGTTTTTTTTTAAATCTAAATGGGCTGTATATTTAACTTTTTTCCAACAGATTGCAAATCTTATTAATAAAAGATACAAAATTTATTATATTGAATATTACAGTCCACTGCATAACAATCTTAACTCTGTGTAACAAACTGAAGGAATTATAACATTGGCTTTGACTTGTTCAGGAGAAAACGATTTTTCATTTTTCGTACAACCTTATTTGATTCAAGTTAACACATCTTAAATAAATCATGGTTAGAATATCCATTACTCCACTGTTAGTATAAAATCTTATTACATTATAAAAACATAAACCCGACTAATAAACAGATCTAACAAAAGTTGGTCAGGGTTATCAGATGCCCAGGTGAAAAATGACCGCAAATAGTCATAGCCCAGGGGAAGATAACTCTACTAATGAAAACAGAATAGAATCCTTTGTTGTTTAATTTTATACAATGAGACCACAAATCTTGTTCAAGTGGGAGAAGTTGTCTGTAAAATGTTACTAATAGAACTATTTATTTTTCATTAATCCTTAAAATAAGCCGTAATTTTCATACATTTAGTGAAAAATGTCAAGCGATTAAATGGATAAAATAGCCATCAAGTGAAAAGCAATTTAAATAACTATCAAATACCAGTAAATGCTTTTACATCCAATTGTAAATGAACGAACATTTAGTTGCCACTAAAAACACTACGTGCATTACAGACCCAAATATATTTATCAAGAGAGAGCCACAAGGATACATCTAAGTTATGGTAAATCTATTCAGAACCAACAGAATTTTAAAAACACATCTATGATTTTACATTCTGTTTCTGCTTCCTTCATTATTCTACTGTCATTTTTTAGCAGTTTAGTCAACAATTTCCTCAAAACTTAACTTTAATACTAGTTTTTACTGTTACGGTAAATGTTTTTGTCATTGACATGTCTTTGGACCAGACAGTTGCAGCTACCTATTCCCCCACTTTTATTAATTAGAATGTCAAAATGTGAAAATCAGTGAAATTTCAGATGCTTTAAATTTTTTGAACATTATATATGCCAATTTTGTTATCCCCAAGGTTGGAGATACTCTTGACAATTAGTTCCATGGAGTTAAAACAGACATTACATTGGCTTGTAGCATGAGATGACCCTTAAACTTATTAGTATTATCATCACATTACATTTTAACTTCTGCTAAGGTTAAACTAAGTGTTAAAAATTCACAGATAAAATCTACTGTGTCATTGACTGTCCATTTGGAATTTTAATTTCAATGATAAAAATCTATATAAATAGATTCTAACCCAAAGGGCAATTTTAAAAATATTTTCACCTCACTGGTAAAATATGTTTCATTCACCTCACTGGTAAAATATGTTTCATTCACCTCATGGTTTATTATGCCACATCTTTTCAAACTATTTCCAAAACATAGTTATAAAAAACTAGAGGCTCTAAAGAGCCTGTGTCGCTCACCTTGGTCTATGTGCATATTAAACAAAGGACACAGATGGATTCATGACAAAATTGTGTTTTGGTGATGGTGATGTGTTTGTAGATCTTACTTTACTGAACATTCTTGCTCCTTACTATTATCTCTATCTATAATGAACTTGGCCCGGTAGTTACAGTGGAAAATACTTTGTAAAAATTTACAAAAATTTACAAAATTTATGAAAATTGTAAAAAATTGACTATAAAGGGCAATAACTCCTTAAGGGATCAATTGACAATTTTGGTCATGTTGCCTTATTTGTAGATCTAACTTTGCTGTACATTATTGCTGTTAACAGTTTATCTCTATCTATAACAATATTCAAGATAATAACCAAAAGCTGCAAAATTTTCTTAAAATTACCGATTCAGGGGCAGCAACCCAACAACGGGTTGCCTGATTGGTCTGAAAATTTCAGGGCAGCTAGATCTTGACCTAATGAACAATTTTATCCTCATCAGATTTGCTCTTAATGCTTTGGTTTCAGAGATATGAGCCAAAAACTGCATTTTACCCTATGTACTATTTTTTAGCCATGTCGGCCATCTTGGTTCGCGGGCGGGGTCATCGGACACATTTTTTAGACTAGATACCCTAATGATGATTGTGGACAAGTTTGGTTAAATTTGTCTTAGTAGTTTCAGAGGAGAAGATTTTTGTAAAAAATTACAAAAAATTACGAAAAATGGTTAAAAATTGACTATAAAGGGCAATAACTCCTTAAGGGGTCAACTGACCATTTTGGTCAAGTTGACTTATTTGTAGATCTTACTTTGCTGAACATTATTGCTGTTTACAGTTTATCTCTATCTATAATAATGTTCAAGATAATAACCAAAAACTGCAAAATTTCCTTAAAATTACCAATTCAGGGGCAGCAACCCAACAACGGGTTGCCTGATTGGTCTGAAAATTTCAGGGCAGCTAGATCTTGACCTAATGAACAATTTTATCCTCATCAGATTTGCTCTTAATGCTTTGGTTTCAGAGATATGAGCCAAAAACTGCATTTTACCCTATGTACTATTTTTTAGCCATGTCGGCCATCTTGGTTCGCGGGCGGGGTCATCGGACACATTTTTTAAACTAGATACCCTAATGATGATTGTGGACAAGTTTGGTTAAATTTGTCTTAGTAGTTTCAGAGGAGAAGATTTTTGTAAAAGATTACAAAAATTTACGAAAAATGGTTAAAAATTGACTATAAAGGGCAATAACTCCTTAAGGAGTCAAATGACCATTTTGGTCAAGTTGACTTATTTGTAGATCTTACTTTGCTGAACATTATTGCTGTTTACAGTTTATCTCTATCTATAATAATGTTCAAGATAATAACCAAAAACGGCAAAATTTCCTTAAAATTACCAATTCAGGGGCAGCAACCCAACAACGGGTTGTCCGATTCATCTGAAAATTTCAGGGCAGATAGATCTTGACCTGATAAACAATTTTACCCCATGTCAGATTTGCTCTAAATGCTTTGGTTTCAGAGATATAAGCCAAAATTTACATTTTACCCCTATGTTCTATTTTTAGCCATGGTGGCCATCTTGGTTGGTTGGCCGGGTCACCGGACACATTTTTTAAACTAGATACCCCAATGATGATTGTGGCCAAGTTTGGTCAAATTTGGCCCACTAGTTTCAGAGGAGAAGATTTTTCTAAAAGTTTACGGACGACGGACGACGGACGCCAAGTGATGAGAAAAGCTCACTTGACCTTTCAGGTCAGGTGAGCTAAAAAAAGTACTGGCAGTGAAATAGGGTTTCTCTGTATCTAAAAATTGAATATTTTTCATTTATCCATTTTGCAGGATTGTTTTAGTATCCAGGGCTAATCACTTATTAATGACCGTATTGTAAAATGTATTTTATACCACGGTACCCCTGGGAAATTCTTGTCAATAGTAGTGAATGAATTACTTTATCCAAATTATATACAGAAGGTGATATTAGTTAACAGTTCTATTGACTAGATGGCAAACTCATTCAACCACCCTCATACATCACTGCATAATCAATAACCTACAAGATCATATAATATTGAACTGATCAGTATTAGTCACCAGCTGATGCTCAATACATGGCAACATGCTCCAGTTAACAAAGTCTTTTACCCCAGACAACCTACGTCTTAATGTGAACCCAGTCGAACAGATTTTAGGGTACAAATCGTTTTTTTTTACTTTTAAAGAAATGATTAGATGAACTGAAGCTTTAGAGAGCAAGCTAACTTACCCAATGCCAGTACCCCCACCCTTTTCCAATTATTTTCTTTTACTTTGAGGTATGATTCTTTTCTGTTAGACTGTAATATTGTTTTACATAAAGAAACTATGACATTATGACTTAAAAACCAATAGGGAACTTCCTCTCATTATATTTTATCATATATAGAACTTGATTCTAAGCCTCCGGAAACCACTTCTCTACACAAAATTT